CGGAAAAATCTTTTATTAAGGAGTTTTCAGTTCCTGAATAGTAACCACTTGGTTTTCCAGAATGGAATTAACATTTTTTTATTATTCTTTTCCTCATAAGGATTTCAGTTTTCGAATAATTCGGTTTTCGACCATTCTTTAAGGTTTGGTAACCGAGTTTTAGCAGCATATATTTGTGAAAAGTAACGTTTCCTAACTGGGATCTAGAAAAAAATTGAGGAACAATGTAAAACAATAATTGCGTTCGAGCGTATCTAAATAGAATGGTAATCATCTCATTCCAAGTTTAATTTTATTAGTTTATATTACAGCAATGAAAATTCATAATAAAAAATATTTTATTGAGGGGTCTTATACAAATCTAGTGGAAGTTTAGTTCTACAGCAAGTCGATTCCCAATAGTAATCATTAGATATTTGGGAGAATTAACCATTTTATAATGTATCGGTTTCGGTTTTCGACCATCCTTTAAAACTTATCATATTATAAAAAAATAGAGTTTAATAATTGGGATCTAGTCTGTGCAATGTTAATGAATAATCGCGTTCAAGTGAATTACAAAGAGACAAATTTTATTGAGCACTATTAATAAGTATAGTGGAACTTAAGTTCTCAGTTACCTCGGTCTCCGAATAGTAAAAGCTTGTTACTTGAGAATAATTTTAAATGAATTATTTTCCTCATAAGGTTTTGGTTTTCGAATAAATCTGTTTTCTTAAAAACTAATTATATTGGGAACTAAGTTTCTACAGTCTAGTTTTGTGAAAAGTATTATTATCTACTGTGTTTTTGAGAAAAAATATTAACCAATAATTGCTTTCAAGCGAATTACAGAAATAAAGATTCGTAGTACAATTTTTTTATTGATCCTTTTAATCTAAGTACAGCACAACTTTACTTCTCAAACACCTCGGTTCCCGAACAGTAACCATTTACTATTTGGGAATGTAATTTATATTAAATATTTCAAATAATTCGGTTTTCAAGCATTCTATAAGAATTACGTTCGAGAACCGAGTTTCCAAAATATATATTTGTGAAAGTTAACGTTTACTAATTTTTTTCCAGTGTTCTGTAGAAGCTATGTTAAGCAATAATCGCATTCGAATGTATCCAAATAGAATGGTTTGTTCCTGATGAAAAGTCAATTGACAACCATTATTGTAAAGCATTGCAATAAAAGTTAACGACATTACCGTCGACTCCATTCCGAGCGCTAATAGGTTATCAATACTACTTCTAACATTCAATTTTCCTTAAAGACCTTAAAGAAGCATCCATTTGCTGAATTGAATTGTATATCACTATTGAAAAAAAATAGATCATTCAGAATCAGTTAATGTATATTAAGTACATGAAGTATCAGACATTAGGAAGTAATTGTTTTTTTTTTAGACATAAATGATTGTTTTTTGTCACTTTCAAGTCTCTTTTTGTGCAGTTTACAGTGGAACATCGCTTAACGAGATTAATCCGTTCCAAAATTTTCGAATTTTTACTCGTATAGTGAAATACTCGTATAGTGAAACATATTCAAAAGTACACATAATGTGTGTAGACAAGATGTAACAGGCGCGCAATGCGGAACTTCTCTTCTCATCGTCACTCGTTATGCGAAACGTCGCTCGTTAAACGAGTCATTTTTCTTACAATTCATTTTGCTCATTAAGCGAGGTCCCACTGTATTTTCTTGCCATTTTATTTTATGAGATATGATACACATTTCAATTTAGTTCCTCGATTAGTACGGTTTTAAAAAGTCCAAGATATTGACAAAACTGATTACCCGTATTATGCTAAAAGTATTGCTATAATTTGGAATGCGGGAATTACGTTAATTTAATAGAAGTAAAAGAGAATGTGCGATGGCCGAGAATCGAACTCGGATCAACTGCTTGGAAGGCAACTATGCTGACCATTACACCACCAACGCGCTTGTATATTGTTGTAAGCTTATTGTTTATTCTTTATTATGAAAAATTAGTGAAAAAGAATTCACTGTTTACATCATTATAAATAATAATCGTAGGTAGACTATATAGGGGAGGATTATATCCCTTGAGAGTATCATTCAGCTAACAAATAATATATTTAAAAATACATCATAGCAGCTTCAAAATAGTTCTACTAGAGAAGAGTAGAAAATAATCATAATACCACTATTTCAAATATTGGATCACGCCGAATTGAACCTAAATTAACCACAGCAACGTTCCCTATTATAGGAAATAAATATAAAATTATTTTTCTTTACACCAACACTACTCAACATATAATAAAATAAGAAAATTCTATACCTAAAATTATAACTAATGAATTAACTTACCAGGTATGTAAATATGAAACCGGAATTTGCCCAACAACTCTATCTATCTATATCGCAAGACCGACAACCGAAAGACCGTCTATTGAAATATCGACGTTCGAAATCCCGACTGTATCGAAATCCCCACGTTCGAAAGCCTGACTATATCAAAATCTCGACAACTATAATCCCGACTGTATCAGAATCTCGACAACCATAATGCTGACTATATCAAAATCTCGACTGTATAAAAATACCGACTATATCGAAAATTTTTACAAAACATTTTTAAATTATTTCATTACATTTTTATTATTAATAACAATAAATTATTATTAATTTATTTGATTTTGTTGAATTATTCATAACATTATGAAATAATCTCAAATATAATTAGATTATTAATTGTTATTATTTATTATTAATAACAATTTAAAAGTCACTACGCTCCGGAATAATTTAAAAATGTTATTGTTGTCGGGATTTCGAACGTCGGGAATTTGATTGGCGGTATTGCCAATTGGCGATTGCCACCGGTTTGAAAGTATGGGAAAGTACTAGAAGATGAGAAAATGGGTTCCCCATAAATTAAATGAAAGACCGCAAAAATACTTGCAAAATGTTGTTGTTGTACAAAAGAAAGTAATTTCTCCAATGAATTTTGACTAATAGATTGAGTTTGAGAATGTTAAGCGCAGAAGATTATGGGTAACTCCAGGCAAACCATCGACTTCGACTGCAAGGTCATATCGGTATGGACGGAAGACAATTCTCTGTGTTTGTATCGATCTATTATGATGTAGCGAAACCGTTAATACTCAACGTTACCAACAATCAAGCTTTGCGTGAAAAACGACCAGAATATCAAAAAAGGCAAAACAAAGTGATTTTGCTTCATGACAATGTAGTAGGAATTTCAACAAAAATGATCAAGAAAACGATTGAGGGAGTTTTTAAGAAATAGTTTCACATGCGACTTACTCACCAAACTTGAGTCCGTCCGAGTTCTACTTATTTGCAAACACTTGCTGAGCACTGCTTTACTTCTTACCAAAATGGCTTAATTAGTGGTTTGCCTCAAAAGAGCAACAATTTTTATGGCATGACATTTACAAATTGTTAGGCATGGTCAATACTTCGAATAAAATATTTTCATCATTTTTTTCTTATTGTATGAAAAATATTTTTTTTTTATATAAAAAGTCCAGTTTCATATTTACATACCTGATATACATGAGCGTTTTTGACCAGGAAGATTATAATTGTATATAATAAACAGGTTTTATGTTAAAATCCAATTAAAATGAGAAACATTAATTTTTGCAGTTTCATAATCTTACGAACGTGATTTAGTAAATTAGTTTATGTCTGACATTGGTTGACAACTTACTTCTACAAGTTATTATTAGTACATGATTTCTGTAACATCTAATTAAAACTTAATTTCAAATATAATTATTTGATTCTAATCATATTTTTACATACAATTATGTAAGTTATGGAAATTTAATTATTCTTTATTTAAATTTTGAGAACCTTTATAAATAATAATTTTATATTAGATAAATATGTTTTATGTGTAGTTCTTATATATAAAATACTAAGTTAATTTTGAGATAGATTGTATATAAATTTTAGATTTTTATTAAATACATGATTTAGTTTATATTCAACAAAATCTATGAAAATATAAAAAAAGATTGAAAGATATTATTTAATAGTAAAAAACCTAATAGATAAACCTAATTAATGATAAATAAATAATTTCATATATTTGAACTAACAATAAATTACTAATAACTAATTACTAATCAATTTTTCAATAAACGTATTTAAATTTATCATTTTAATGCTAATAAAACGTAGTGAATACCGGGAATTTGCAATATTTAAACTTTTTGTTCTTCAGAGAAAAAATAGAAAAATATCTATTACACCTTTAGCTCGCTATATATATACTGAATCTCATATTTTCTGATATATTTATTATATTGCATAGTAACTAAAAAAAAATATTAATAAAATGATTTAGTTCAGGTGAGGTTATTGATCCTAATTACAACGTTCAAAATCAATACAATGTACAAATCAGATTCATTTGTACGGTCTATTTTATTTTTGTTTTGCATTGTATATATTTTTAAAACAGCGTTTGAAACATAAAATGCTATTACGAATTTTGTTGTTTTTACTTTTTCTCTCTATATACAGGTATAACTATTATTTCTAGAACACACAAAATGCAATCATAGCAATTCCAGTTAATTTATTTATCATATTTTATTTTTATAATTTTTTATCATTTCCCGGGAATTCCCGATTCCCGAGAACAAAACCTTTTATTTTTTATTAATTTCCTTAATGCTTTTTAAAATAAAAAAGCTCTTTACTATAAGAGATGAATGTTTTTTTTTTTAAACATAAATACAAAATACATTTTATTTTTTAATATATACATTCATAGTTGTTGTATAAAATGTATAATATCTGCTTATATAATATGTTTATTTTAATATACAAATATTTCTAATTTTAATCCTTGGTAGACGATATGTTTTTTTTATAAATCTAAATCATTAAGTATAACATTGGTAATTTGCATTAGAAAAAATCTTTGTTGTAATAAATTGAAAAGTTGCAGATTTGGTTTTGAATTTATATTTCTTGTAATTTATGTATTTATTTAAATTTTCAGGTGGCTTGGTTGAGGGTTGATACGCAGACAATCCTGACTATCCACAGTCACATTATCACGAAGAACCATCGAATCGGTGTGACCCACAGCGAATACAAGACGTGGTATCTTCACATCAAAGAGGTCCGTGAGTCTGATATGGGTTGGTACATGTGTCAGATCAACACCGACCCCATGAAGAGCCAGATAGGATACTTGGATGTAGTCGGTAATTCATCATACCCATATAAAGAACGCCACATCCCGAAAGCTAATTAAATGCTCGCAACTATATCCCCCCTACGCAGCCAAAATGTGCTAATAAACTGTTAAACTCATTGTTCCATCGACGTTGAAAGCGCTCCAATATTATTGTTCTCATACCAAAACTAATACCCAAATGCGGGGTTTCGTGCATCGCACAAAGGTATACATTTTAATCACGGAAATATTTAAAATCAAAAACCGGATTTGCCATAATAATGAAATCAATTATTCAACTCGAAGCTAATTATGTAACGCTTCTATTGCCGTATTTATATTTATTCAGTTTCAATCTCTCGTTTAATTGAAACTGGGCTTTTTGAATCTGTGAAAGTCAATCAAAAACTAGCTGTACACAACATCCTTCACCACCCAGCCCTATACGAAGGGGCGGACTTTGCATGCACGTACATAGAAAAAAGAGGGCGTTCGTTCATTCGGGCTGTGCAAAAACCGAAACCCACCCCCACTCGCAGTTTGCTCATTGCAACGGAAAATCATTAAAAGCTTTTTAACTCACAAAGATACAGTTTTGCCTTTGTTCTTTCAAATGCTGCTACAACCCTGCACATATGCGATACAAAGTTTTTTTTTTTATTATTATTCAGCATTTAACGTGCCCCTATATTTTCTACAAAATAAAACCTCTGTTTTATTTTATTGGTAATATTGTTTTTTTATTTCTTTTTGCAGGTTTTGTTGTTGTTGTTGCAATTGTTTGCTTTCAGTGTACCGCAAAATCGATTAATATAAAAAAATATGCACATTTGTTCCTTTCATCTAGCTTTTATTCAATTTTCCCAGTTGTTCTGATGGTATTAGCATTGGGAGAATTCAGAAAAAAATATTTGTAAAAAAAAATGCAATCATTTATTAAAAATTAATGTTGGATGATGTACAAGGTTTCCCTTCTGCTGCCGTGACTATATTGCTGATAGTTTTTGTGCAAGTTCTCTATCACAAATTATCAAGTTGTTCACAATACTTGACGGAATTGACAGTTTCATTATTCGGTAGCAGCTCGTAATAGACAGCACCCTTCAAATCCCACCACATGCACAACATCACTTTTATTGAAAGTAGACTAATCTTTGTTAATGTCTGGGAAGCACATTTTTTTTAGACCAGGATCTACGGTGCACAACATTGTTGTAGAGTATTCATTTTTCATCTCAAGTAATCAAAATCTGGATAAAAGGTTGTTGGTGGTTGCTTTTAATAAGCTGATCATAAATGATTATACGCTGCATTCATTCAGATCATATGGAACCCATACATTATAACGATTGATGCCAGTTGTTTTTTTTTTGGAATTTCTCTTCTTTTTGGCAACATCAATATTCCGCGCTTATAACCAGGGGCAGAGTTCTTAGAAGACAGGGTGTCGAGGAATTCGTGGTCTTGTATAAGGGACTCAGGAGGGACATCAAAGTTATTGGAAAAAAAAGATTGGTACCAATCATTAATATGGACAAGATTATTATGGTCAAATGAAGAGTCCTCGTCAAAATCAAATTGTTTTTTAAAATGTTGCGCAAAGACATTGCAAATGCTGTCATCGTCTGAGTGAGTAATGTTTGTATTGGGGTCAGTTAATTGGTGCACGGACTGGTTATTTTTGTATTTAGAAAGTTTTTTTATTTGCCTCCCAATACTTTTTTCCCCTCGACTCTTCGATTGCTGAGCAAGCATTTAACCACTTTTCTTGTTTAAATTCGCGAACCGTGGAGGACATAAGTCAATGAAATTCGGAGATGATTTCTGGAGAAGGATCCGGATTTTGGGAAATGAAGGAGAGAAGACTGGAGTTAACAATAGACATATCACATTTATTTAGAGCAGAGACATATGAAGGAGGGATATTAATAGGCGGAGACAAGAGATCGATGTCAAATTGGATTGCCAGGTGATCGGATCAAAGGTCAGGAACAACATCAAGGTTCTTGATGTGGGACTGGAAACTGGAGTAGCAGATAACGAGGTCGGGAGAAGACATAATAAAAGTTGGAGGGGTAGGGACACGAACGAAGATGGAATTAGCTAGGAAATGGAAAAGGTGACGGGACTTGGACTTGTTTAGGTTGAAATTTCCAACAATAAGGATGTGATCGAAAAGAGAGACAAATTCTGATTATCCTAGAATTAATCATTGATTAAAGCAAACACTCAAACTGTTACAACTCTAGGTGAAATGTGAACAAATTCCTGTTTGTTATTTGCGGTTGGTTGCACAAATACACGGAGATTCTTTCATCAATGATTCATGCTACTCTGGTTTGCGTCACTCCGGCTGATGCATACACGTTTCGCCTTTCAAGTCGTGAAAATTTCAGGGCGAAAAATAAATAAAATAAGAGCATACAAACCGGGTCTGGCAGAAATTACTTCAATAAATGATTACAAAAATAAAAATACAGAATGACTCTCATTGATAATTTAACAAGACAACGATTAAGGCCTCGTCTTTCGTATGAATAATTTCAAATGAATTTTCATTTTTTTTCACATTTTATTTCTTTTTGAATTTTGCTGTCCATCAAATTTAATTATATCATTGATATTATTTTATATTTTTATAAAAAAAATATATAAAACAATTAATATTTTTATTCAATTTTAAGCCAATTTCTCTGTGATAAATGTGCGGTAAATAAAAAAAAAATTAGAAAAAAAAATAAATAATTATCACACTTGAATTCTAAGTTGATTTCTCTATGTTATAAGGTTATGCTTAGAAAAATAACGTAAATAACATATACAAGTACAATAATACTATAAAAATTATAAACTTAATTCGTTTTATTTTGCTTTTCCAGCTAAAAATATTATTTCAATATATTAATAATAAAAAATGAATACTGATTGGATTAATTGGACAAAAATATTATTATGAAATAATATTATTTCCATTTGATTGTTCTAATTTTAAATGTACAGTTGAATAATATCTATAATTTATACTGCGAATAGAGCACAGGATTATCATATACAAAATTTTAGAATATTTTTGCTTTCAAAACTTTCAAATATTTTGGTTCAGTAATTTTAAGAATTTATTTTTATTTTCTATATTAAAATATAGTTTTTTATAAAATTTTCATAGCAATTTATAATGTTTTTTTTTTCTATTTATGTATAACAACTCTTTTCATTCGTCCAAATAAAAATTAAAACCAGTACCATTTTTTATTATACTTCACCTTTTTTTTTTAAGGCATTTTTGGAGAAAAAATATGATACATAGCCAATGTTCAGCTAACGTGCATTATGTATACCCAAATTTCCGTACGGTATGCTATGTTAATCGGACGGTGAATTCTCATAGAAATGCGTAGATTTACATACTCGATGTTCATACAAACGTATATTTTGCAATCATAACGTGATATTATGTTATTTTCATCAAAGGAGTTTAAAAAAATACATTATACTTAATAAAACATTTATTTACCGAATGCTACAAGTAAAAACACGCTTCTTATATTATAATAGTAAATTATAACGTACATGTCCTAAAACTAATAGTCCATCAATATATTTATATCGTTCTTGTTGATGTTTTTCTTTTGTTGTCATGTCTATTCGGAACATGTTATTATATATTCCCTTCTTTTCTCAATTATATTGCAGTATACAATTACTGACAATTCTTTAAAAAAAAATATGTTGACCAATGAACTTATTTTAGTTACTGTGGCTTGTTTCCTTATATAATTTTGTTTTTTTTTTCATATTGATCGTCCACAAATCTTGTTATTACCTATACATACATTTTCATTATTCAGTATAAAATTATTGCATTAGGCTTCTTACATATCAATACTTAATAATATAGTTCTAGTAGTTTATCTGGGTTTCCAAACCTATGTTAATAGATGTTTATAATGAATAAAAGGATTTAGTTCCTTGATTTGTCCAGTTTCAAACAGTCCAGTTTCGAGATATTGACATAAATGAGTACATAGCTGTATTATAATTTTATTTATATTGCTTCTACGTTAAGATTGAAAGAGATATCATTCCATATTTGACTCCTAATAATTAATCTCATAATGTAATATTTTTGTACAAATTTTTACACAATTCGTGACATCATGGATGTAATAATGAAGTTCGATTATAGCAAATCTGGGTAACATATTACTGTGACATTGCACATCTCCACACACGTTTCAGTACGTTAAGCGTTAACTTAGATATAGATCTCTGTTAGATCGGTTTGTCTAGATTCCAGCGATATGTTAATCAATAATAGTAATAACCTGACAAACAATTATGTTTTATGAGATTTTCTTCTAAACAATAATAATCTAATTCTATGTTTTGAGTTAGCAATTGAGGCAATTGAGTGCTGAAATGGAAAAATCTGGAGTGTTTTATAAACAAGAGATTTGGGGGGGCGGCAAAAGTTCTGAGCTAGCTCTCGACTTTTCCGTATTGCGTTCTAGTTTTCTGGGAAAAGTTGGTTAATACCAGTAGTTTCGTATGCGGGGGTTAAAATGGGTGCTAATTAAGCGCAGTGGGGACTAATTATGCTTTTCGTTATGTAATAGTGCCTCCGGACATAATTGATTATCAGACGAGTCCCGATATGGTTATTCAGGAGGGCCTGAACGTGAGCCTCCGATGTGTGGCCAGAGGCTCCCCAACACCAACCATAGTATGGAGAAGGGAAAGCGGGGAAACCATCCCCGGCGACGATGCCGGTAAATATTAATCACTCACCGAAGTGCGTTCACTTCAGCAAAGTTTCAAATCACTTATATATTTTTCTCTCTCTCTCTCTCACTTCCAGGTGCAAGCGGATCAGTATTAAACATTAACAGGGTGAGCAGGAAGCAGATGGGTCCATACCTATGCATTGCGTCCAACGGGGTTCCGCCGTCGGTCAGTAAACGGATCACCCTCATTGTTCACTGTACTTGAAACTATAAACCTAGGTTAAATCCGACCGGCCGGAAGCAGCTAACGTAGCCTTGTTTCAGTTCCCCCCATGATCTGGATCCAGTACCAGCTGATCGGTGCCTACGATGGTCAGCACATCACCCTGGAATGCCATTCCGAAGCGTACCCAAAGTCGATCAATTATTGGACTCGCGACACGGGCGACATCGTCCCAAGAAGTAAGTTTCATATCCCCATTACCACTTTCTAATACTTCAACGAACTCTTCGGAAAATTATAAAATCACCTCACCCGAAACTTCTTCTCAACTTTCCACTTTGTTTTATTTGTTTCTCAGTCTTTATTTTTTTTTGTTCCGAATTTATATTTGCTTCTCCCGCCCTTCGCATATCAAACTTAAATAATGGCTTTATTATGGGAAAAACGCAATCATCCAATTAAAAATGGATTACCGTGCATGCATTAAACATATAATCGAAGAGTGATTATGTAAGAGTGAAAAACGGAATGAGAGCAGTCTACTTAACCATTTGCCGATAGCGACGTTAATAATTCTTTCCTTTGCAACTGATTCGATTTTTCTCTCTCTTTCTTTGTTGTAGATGAGAAATACGAGCCGATCTTGGAGCACGATACTTACAAAGTGCACATGAAACTAATCATAAATAAAATCGAGCCAGGCGATTACGGCATCTACAAATGCATCTCGAAGAATGCCATCGGCGAAACCGATGGGACCATTAACGTTTATCGTACGTAAATAATGCATTCTTTATATATATATAGTTGTATAAAAATCCGACGTCCGTCGCGGCCTCCAATTTCCCGTTTTATTTTGCTTCCAGGCATACCTAGGCCAGCGTTCTCCAATAAGACTTCGATGCACCGGAAGAAGAGTAAGTTATTAACTTTGTTCAGATATTTTCTTTTAACCCTTCACGTAATAGACCTGAAATGGTGCGCTTCAGTAACAACTTAGATATCCTTCACTGCACTTCAATTTCCCTCAATTATTAATAGTCTAATAGAAAAATATATATTCCTTTCATTTCTTATTTATTACTGTAATATATTTAGTTGACATAATATAACAAACTTATGCAGCATCCAATAATGGTAACAATAAAGTTACATAATATATGATATTATGCTCCGAGTGTCGCTGATAGATAATTGCTTGGAAATACGCTCAATTTTGTTTCACTAGATTCTAAAAAACACGGTTTTTGTTAAATGACGTATTCCCATAATTAAAAGTAAAATTTCATCTGTAGATAAACTTGCTGCTAAAAAATAACATAGCTTTGAAAAAATTATATTAAATGGTTTATTTGTCAATGTAGATGAATCGCTAGTTACAAACCTCTTGAACATCATAAAATAATAGGAGTGCTTCTTCTGATCTGCTGGCATAAAATCATACTGATAATGGCAAGAAGACTTTACTGACAGTAAATTTAATAAAAAATGGTTTTAACTAGCCAGCGAATTGAAAAACCTAAACAAGAACTAATCCTTACCTCTAATAACGAGCATTTCGTTTAACGAACGACGTTTCGCATAACAAAAAAATGAAAAGTTCCGTACTATGCGCTTGCTAAATTATTTTCCAAACGTGTGTTTTTCCAAATTATGTGTATTTATATATTATATATTAACTATCTTCGATTTTTTTTGTCATCTTTGTTTAAATAAATATAATTTGTGTTTGTTGTAAAATCAAAATAAAAAAGTATATAAACAAATAAATAAAAAAGTATAACCAAGACCCCGGATCGATACAAGTAATATAAAAAAGAGGAGTCAGGCGTAAACTGACTTCACCGTGTGTGAATGGGAAAACAATTCCTAGTATCCTGTAGTCATTCTAGTTGCATCTTAGTATCGTTTGTGATCACACATTTTTCCACATATTATTTGTGATTTTTATGTGCAAAATTTAATAACATATATAATCCAAGAAAAGATAAAAGAATAAAGATGACCCTTATTTTTTGTGACATGGAGCGCATTATTTAGAATGCATCAGTATTTTACATCAGTTAATATGGGGAACAATGTTTCGCTTTACGTATAAGGAATCCTGTAATTGATTATATTCATTAAGCGAGATTCGACTGTATTTTTACACGATTTTTGTATACGCTTCTTTAACTAACTTGTTACTATAGTAAAACATTGCGAAAATAAAATGTTCTCTAATACTTTCTAAACTTTAGTACGCCTATAAATAATATAATTCTTTTTTCAATTCCTAAGTATTTTTCATATATTATGAGCGACTTCCAATATTTTTTTACAAAATATTTTATTTCAACATTTTTTAAAAGATTAAAAAATACAAAAATAATGAAAATACAACAAAAATAACAAATTTTAATTTCACTTTATATAAGGAGGAAAGGTGACATAATAACCAAAAGTTTTTAATCTAAATAAATGTTAACTCTTTCCAGCCAGTGATTCCAAATGGAATCGTTAATTATAAATTCAATTTTGTCTTTTGACGATTAAAACTATTGACATCAACTAACGTATTTTTAATAGTTGGTAATGCTGAATAATGATATAAATAATTATAATATAAATATTTCATGATTGTACTTATAGAGAAAAAATGTTTTGTATTCAAAATACCAGACAAACGCAATAGTTTAGTTTCATTTATGTTCATTTTTAAATTTTTATATTGTGAACAACAATAACTAATTTACAGTTGAATAAATTAAGTTTTAATCATTATATTTTTATACTTTTCATGATATGTAAAAAATATTAAAAAATAAACTTACATGAATGTTCAATGTTATTGAAACAATATTTCTTTATTTAAATGTATTTTATCATTGGTAATTATTACTTATCTAATATCAATATATGAAAATCACATTTACTAAATATATTGTAGTTATATATAAATTCTAAAAACTTCTTAAAATTGTGTAAAAAATAATTCCTCGTATTTTCCGTTTGATGAGAAAATGGTATTGTTGATACAATTGTGGATATATTATTCCTGTTGATCGGATTGCAGCTGCAATTTACGGTGTTTGCTATCGCAGATTAAATACAGATCAATCGTGAGTAATGCAGTTTCGAGATCGCGCCTCGCACTCTGAACATAAAGTGAATTACATTTCTAATTGCATCCAGCTTGACACTTTGTTACAGAACGACTGTAAATACTGTTTCACCAAAGCAATATAACAATAAACGATGTTTGTGCATCTACAGGATGCACAAAAAGAATATTTCCACAATATTTCTCATCTATTAATATTTGTTTAATTGTCTTTATATTTATTCACAAAAAATAAGAAATTATATTTAATATTTATAATAAAAATAATTTGTCTGCATTCCCATATATCGTATGTAATAGGATTCCCGCTAGAGCTGCATTAAGTAGGTGTGCAGTGGATTTTGGATCCTAGATCCACAGTTTCTTCATCAAATATATGATCATAGGTGTCACGGTTCTGAGATGTAATAACTGCTCTCCAATGTTCATTCCCAATTGCTCTGTTTTCCATCAAAAATAGATTCATAATATTCATAGTGTAGAAATGATTCTCTCATTTTTCCTAAAAATTCATCTATCTCTAGCCAGAATTCATCTGAACTTTGTGAAACGATTTCTCTCATGAAGATTGTTTACACAATATTCTGATTTTCAGCAGGATGAATATTGAATTATTAATGTCATTTTGTGATCTTGAAAGTCATTTTTCTTACAATTAATTTTTCTCGTTAAGCGAAATGCTCGTTATACAAATTAAGCGAGGTTCCACTATATAATAAAAATATATTTATTAATAAAAAGTGTAATAACATCTGACGACATTTTTTTTTATTTGGCATAAAATTAGGAAAAAATGAAACCAAAATTTTAATGAGATTAAACAATTGAGAACAATTTGTTATTATATTATTGTATTAATTTTTTGTTTTTAGTTTTTATTGTTGCTATAAATATTATTATTATTATTAAAAGAAATAATTAATAATAATGCGTGAAATAAGTTTAAGTGAATTAAAATTACAGAACTAATGATTTATATCTTTTATTAGACCATAAGACGCGCATTTATTGAATAGAAAAATCGACTTAAAATTGGATTATGTTTCGAAGTTTTTTTTTTCTAGAAATCGTCCAATAACTTTTGGATACATTTTATAGTCCGATGCGTTTCATGAAAATGTTGCTTATTCAAAAATATATTAAAATGTAAATATCGAATTGAGATTATACCCGAATTACTTTCGCTCTAAAAACGATTTTTATATTATATACAATAATCCTTTGGGAAATTCATGAATATTGACATGATTTTCCTTATTTCTATTTTTATGCCACTACAGTTGTGTGGATTAGAACCAAATAATAATATGAATTGTAGCAATAAATATGTCCAACTCGAATAAATAATAACAAATTTATATTTAATTTTTTACGTCTGTAATTTATTTATTTACCGATTCGCCGCGAATTTTCCATTTTATTAATTATTAATTACATTCACAATAAAATATTTATTGCGTTTTTGTTTATTGAATAATTAATAACAATAATTACTATAGTAGTTGACTGAACATGATTATTATTCGTCGCTTTTTTTTGTCAATTGAAAATTACGCAGTTTCCCATTTCCGATATTTAATTAAATTCTGTAATTTTATTTCGTCCAATATTAATTTGCCTTTCCCAGTTGCAGCATTGTTAATGGTGTATAAATGTATTTGCGTCACATTAAACGTGCTCAAATTTAACAAATTTATTATAGAGTTATCATTGATTGAATACATTTATAAAAATATATTAAAAATTTCAATTCTACATTTTAACTAATTTTACATCAATTGAATATTTTTTTTTTTGCTTTTTTTGACGTAGCTTCACGTCTATAAAGTCTGAAGATATTTACCAAAAAAATTTTAGAAATTTTGGGTTTGCTTTTTATAAAAAGTATATTTTTCTTTACAGTCAAGTGCTGTTTATTTTTGTGGTTTTCAAGTCTTCGATTAGTTCAATTTATTGCAATTTTCAATTATACAATTTAAGAATTAAATTTTTTGAAATTTATTTTACAATTGTCATAGTTTTTATTTTTGTATGAAAAATATGTCTCAAAAACATATTTATTTGTTGCATACATATCTAAAGGTGAATGCTGTGTCAAATCGATATGGATATTGAAAATAATATAGAAAACTGGTATTTCGAAAATAATTCGGTCAACATAATTCCGCACTTCATTCGAAAATTGTTTTGTTATTCATCGCATTATTATTGTTAAATTTGGCCTGAAATAATCATATTCGCTACGACACGAATGAATTTAAATAATAATTTCTATTTAATACTAACGGCCATTTATGCTACACCATTCAATTTCTCTCACCACCAAATGGATTACAATTCCGGTCACCAAAAACATCAATTGTAATTACTTTGAATTGGAATTTTATAATTATTTACATGTCAATGAAATTTGTAAATAATAAGAATTAATATGGTAATAAATGCACCAATATTCTTTATATTTGTTAGGATGATTTTTTTTTAAATATGCATGAAAAATGAAGTAAATCAACTTTTTTTCTACGTGATAGATAGGTATTACAAGTACAGGTAAAATATTTACAGCACGGTATCCTACAACACGGTATTCTTCTAACACTATAAGATAAATGACAGAAACAACCCTTTTTCTACTGGTTTTGAGTTTCTATTATGATTTTACCTGTTCACATACATGTACATTTCTTTTGTTCTGGCTAAATGAGCGAGAAGCTCACATGAACACCACCCCACAATAACATATCTTTGTGTTGTTTTTCTTTTAATTAAAGTTAATTTAATGCTAATCCGGGTATTAATTTACCGTGGTTCAGATTCCACGGTTAATCGCGGACATCTTAATGTTTAGCTGAACAATAATAATTCATTTTCTTCCGATTTGCTTTCTAAACTTTTCAAACTACCCACGTATATACAATTATAATTTATTAGCCAAAAGATAAAAAAAAAACATAAGTTAATTCAGAAATAAACCCTGAAAAGAAAAGAAAATTTACAAATATAAATATATTGAATCAGCTTTAATAGAAAAAACCGCTAAACCAGGTATTACTATTTTTACCCCAATCTCACGTTTTAAATCGTTTTGTAAAAGGTGTGAGGTTTAATTTCTAGAGCAGTGCATCCCAATCTTTTTAACGTCACAGCATACCTCATACGAATAAATAATATTGACAATATGTTACAAATGATTGCCATATCCACTTAATTGTAAGACTTACAATTCCTCATAAAAAGAGCCGCATGCGGTTAAGAGGAAAACAATTTGGTATGAACTAAAAATTTGTTGTCCATCTATAATTAAATTTTGCATTTTTTATTTAGTTTAATACTATATACTTTTATCAAGATAGTTCATTTATATTTACAACATACATTATGAAAATGAAAGTAATGAATTATATTTTATGACCTGAATATTGTATTAATAATATTTTTGTTTTTGATATCAAGAATCAATCTTCTGAATTTTTATTTTCACTGTATATATTTTTACACAAATTCTTCAGGAACCAATCTATAAGACATATAATTATAATTAATAAATAATAAAAAAATATTTGTAAAGCAATAACTTCCTGCAATGAAATAGTTTTATCGGTAACAAAATTTGTGTGATGATTTCGACTAGCTCCGATCCATCTTGATCATTTGAACAGTTCCATAAACACTTAATTAAGGATATCAAATGAAGGCATCGAGGAAGGAGGTCAACGCTTAATTAGAAACTGCGCCAGATTCTACGTCGATTTCCAATGATCGAATGAAACACATTGTTGACAGAGCAGTACTGAATTAAATACAAGCGATGATCCAACAATCCCATCGTAAACTGATTAAATATGGAACCACTAACGATTATTATGTAGATAGTATTATCTGCTTATTGGAGATAAAGCAAATTGCATACATTTTTTTTGAGGTCAGTTTATTGAATGTACTTTATAATTTCATTCCCCCTGAAACGAGATTTCATTTGAATTGGGAATAAATATAAGCGTTATGTAAACAACGAAATTAAATGCAAATATCAGAAATTAATTACTTTTTGTAATTATATTATTTATTTGTTTATACGTATTTAGCAATTTTGCGACCGCAACAAATAAATTATATTTATTTAAAAAATATTTAAGATTAAATTTAATTTACTTTAATCTAAATTTTTAAATTATTTTTTTAGCAATTTTTTGAATTAATTAAATAAAATCAATAAGATTGAATAATTCATTAGAAAGTAATTAGTCTATAATATAATCAGCATTTTTATTAATATCACAGTAATGTGTTACCCTTATAATACGATTTCCATATAACGTAGAAGAAAAATAGCGAGAAACTTCCTATAACACGGTACTCTTATAACACGATTTTCACATAACTTAAAAGAAAAATAGCGAGAAACTTCCTATAAGACGGTACTCTTATAAGACGGATTATTAGTAAAATAATTAGTTTATAACTAATAATTAGTTTATGCAATATTAATTTATACATGTACTTTATAACGCGATTACAATATAACACACTACACGATTTTCATATATCGCTATACGAATTAATCTAATGAGTTTATTATAATGCAATTTGTATATAACAATAGATGATCTATATCTATGTTTACTATTATATTTTGATAACAAATCCTTGTTATTTTCTTAATTTCTTAATAAACCATAAGAAATTTCATAATAAAAATAAATATATATGATGAATGTTTTAATGTATTAAACTTCCATTGAAATTAATGAATACTTTACATATAGTACAAAAATGGTGCATGCTAATAATACTAGTAGTACTATCATAATAATATTTCAATTAAACCCTTGTGGACGCGCGCAGTGTATAATTATAATGTATAATTTCTTGGAAAAATTTATTTTAGAAGGCATTTAGTACACAAATAGGAATATTTATTTAGTTTATTCTATTACAAACAAAATATTTTAAAAATAAAAGTAAAAACACATTTTGACAGAGTTACACAAAATACAAAAATACGGTAAGTTTTCGCGACTAATCATAGTTTAATGTGGATTTTAGATTGGGGGATTGAGTGGACCTAACTTTTTCGAAAATAAAAATAGAAAATCTGTAACTGTCAATGAAATTCGATATCCTGAGGTAATTTGAAACTTTTTGTGACCTAAATTAAATTATATGGATGCCAATTAAACCATGCATTTATTGCAAGAAACATTTAATGGTTGTGTTATCTCGAAGCGGTCATTTGTTAAATAATTTCTATCATACATAATCTCTATATTTACTTTCTAACAAAGCAAAAATATTATCAATTATAAAATTTTATGATATCAGTTTATTTTGGGACACCATTTAAATCTGTATATATTACTATTTATAATATATGACTGTCACAATTAACATTAGTGTGATTATATAAATAAAGTAAAATCAATATTACTCATAAAAACTTATAAAATATAAATAAAAAGAAAACTTATTTTTTTTTTGTGTATTATTAATCACTATTTGTATGCAAGTGTATTTGATTATCCCATTAAAAAGACATTATTTAACGTGAAAATATTTTCGCATTATTTCCAGCGGCCTAATGAATTTAATTTCGGGAAGTGTTTCCAAATGCCCGGCGCTTCCACCGCACACATTTTGTTTATTTTTTATCTTCGCAAAAAAAAATATCGATTCGGAAAATATTTCTGCTTCACAGTCAAATCCAAGTGCAGCCGTTTATGTGATCTGATTATATTTTAATTTTATAGCAGTTTCAACTGCAACCGATTGCAATCAAATTTGTAAAATGTCATATTTGAAAATAAAAATAGTTTAAAATAACGACTAAATACGTTTTTAAAATAATAATATATTTGCTCGTTTTAATATTTATTTTAATTTTAATTGATACACTTTTAATATTGGATACAAAATGAATAAGTTGAAATTATATATAAAGTGTGAAATATAAAAAAATATTATAAAAACAATTTCATTTTCGAAAATAAACCATAAACATATTTTGATCATTTTTCGCTTAATTCATGGACTTAGGAAAACATAGCAAAAACAACATACATTAATTATTTAAAAGGGTGATATTTTTCATTCCTTGTAAAGTACAAATGTTGGGAATAAATCTAGTTGACACGCAGACGCATTTGATGTGAAAATTCGTTTCATCTAATTCTTGTTATGTATTATTTTCGAGATAATGCTCACTAAAATGACTCATATGTGACATTTTGTCCAGAATTGAACTAGTTTCCTCAATTTTTTTAATTAATCTTTGAAATGATAACTAATTTAGATCCATGTTTTGACTGAATCCATTAATATTTCATATTTACTAATCGAAAGTCACATATGAAATTTTTAAAACATGCCGAACTTATTAAAACGCAAAATTTAAATCCTCTCTTTCTGAGATAATATTTAAATACAAAATATAAAAATATATTATTGGTATAAAAATCAATATAGAAAGAATCCAAAGGTTGTATACAGCACATTTGCAAGTTGAGAATGCATTTGATGATTTTGAATTAAAGTACATAGATTGTAAAGGCAGGAAAACGAAGGATTCTCAAAACCAATTATTTGAAAGTCGGAATTAAAAATGTTTACTATTAAAGAATATTATAAAATCTAAAGATCGTTTAGAGATTTTGCAATTTGAGAATGCATTTGATGTTTTTTAATTAAAGTACGTAGAATGTACCGAGCGGAAAAAACGTGGAGTTCTCAAAACCAATTTGGAAATCAGAATGAAACGCAAATCAATGCTTTATCTTAATACCCAAAATACTTTTCCAAATAAGCATTGACTTTCGTAAGTCAGTTGCAAAATGTGTTTCAATTTGATTAAAAAAAGTGATTATTTATTTAGTATCTATTGAAATATAATGCATTATGTTATTACCTCAATTAGTATGGTAATATTTTGATATCTATGAACTGTATTTCGTAGTTAAATTTAACTAGTATTTATTAAATATATTAATACAGCAATATCTGCGTATGTTCGAATAGTCCGGATTCATTATTGTTCGGTTTAAAAATTTAGAAACAAAATTAATTTTAATTATTAAAATTAATTCTAGAAAAATGTAGTACTCAAAATGATTTTTATTTTTTAATAACCTTTTTATCTATTTATACAGTCAAGATTAATTTATATTTATGCGGTTTTAACGTCCGCGATTAACCGAACTAAATAGTCCGGAATATTCTCAGAATCGATTCTTTTATTTGAATTAATTATACTGAAAATGCATTATAAACATACCTCCATTAGTACGGTATTATTTTGATATATGTTAAATGTAACATGATTTATATAAAAACATAAATATTATAATTACAACTGTACCTCGCATAGTGTAGCTTCAATCAGTCCGGTTTAATGATTGAATATTTGTTTTAAGAAAACTAAATTTTAATCGATAAAAATAAATTTTAAAGTTTTAAATATATTTTTATATAATTAATTCCTCGATTAATCCGGTTTCAAAGAGTCCGCGATGATGGCAAATTGATCAACTATTCAAGATGTTGCAGTATATTGTGTATTATTTTTTTTTACAATTTTATTATACTATTAGTTTTGTTATTGTATAGCTGTTGCAATAAATTATTAATATTTATTTGTCTCTTTTCTCATAGATAATTCAATGTCAAATGATGTTACATATCAACTAGGTTCTTCCACTGCAGGTATGAAGAAGTTTGTGTAAAACTAACTAATTACATTATTTTTTCTTCCTTGGTTTGTTTTATTTGTTCGCAGATCGACCGGGCCCTTTGTTCCTGGGAGACGAGCAAGGATCGGGGACGCGAATCGTCGGGAATTCCAGGATCCTCTTGTTTGTAATTGCGTTCATGTTTTACGTGATTTTGTATTGAAGCCGGTGTCTAATTTTCTGTTCGTTGTCCTGTACGAGGAACGAGCGTTGCGTCGAGCTTAGATTAATTTAAGGAATTTGGAATGAGACAATAATAACGAATGTAAAGATGATAGAAGTAAAAAAAAGTAAAATAAAAATAAAGTAAAATAAAAAGTATATTATTATCATTTGACGGACGCTCGTTCCACGCGATAACTAACTAACTAACGTGTAGATGGGTTAATTGTTTCAGTTTAATTGCTATTTTTGTACGCTTCCCTGGGTGAGAGTAAATAAAGGATTGAAATATATGGGGTGGAGAGAGAAATAAACAAAGAGAGAGAGAGAGAAAACGAGCGTAATTTTTGGTATTTACCCTGTCATGTTTAATTTATATTTCGGCCGAGCGTGTTTGTTGTATAAATTCGCCGCCATCCAGCCTCATAATAGGTGTTTGAATTATTATGCGGAGATGTAGTTTTTGTTCGGTTCGGGGATGGGGGTTGTATGTGCGAGGGGTTTGGTCCAACAAACGTTCAACTGCCTTCCCCCCAGCCACCCTCGATTCATGAATGAGTTAGGGGCGGCGCGGAGGTGGTGACAGGCCGCAGATAGCGTGTAATCACGCGATGCAACCCTTCGGATCACCCTAAAAGGGTTATTACAAAAAGCGGGGAAATAAACGCAATCGGATCCCTTCAACGTCTTATTTATCGCCGTTCACTTTGCATATTTCCACGGCTCGAAGGTGAGAAAATAACGGACAACGAAAGAGACTGTACTTGAGCTGAATAAAAAACAACTGAAAAGAATGTAGGATAAGCTATTTATGGTATTTTTAGTCCATTTTTCTTTTTTTTATAACTTTTATTATTTATTCACAATCTGCCAACATCTCTGGCAATAAGTCGAATGTTTTTTTGACCAAGACAGAAAAAAAAAAGAAAATAAAAATAGAAAAAAACAAAATAAAAAGCATGGAGCGGAACGATTTTCCATCGGAAATCTTCCTACAAACAAATATAAATTTAACTAAAAAATTATTCCAATGATAACCCAATATTAACCCAACAAAATAGATTTTGACGACACTATGAAAATTAAATAAAAATATTTATTCTAATGGACAATGAAACGAAATTTTAGTTTCTAAAAGGGAGGTCGAGGGTGTTGTGTCTCTTTAGTCTATGGGGTGTCACTATTATCTAGCAGGAATAACGCGAGACTGTTGGGGTGGTTTTCAAGTCTGTTCTGGTAACGGGCACTGAACTTAGGGATTTCACTTTTAACAGTGTTCATGTGGAGGTCGTTGTGTGTCGTGTCGTTCGCCACGTACCAGGGGGCCTGCACCATGGTTCACAGGCACTTGGACTGGATCTCGATGTTGGAACTGCTGGCTGTTCCCCATCTGTATTTATTGGATGCAGATAATACATAACTTAATATTTATACTATCTATGATTATTATGTTTTCATCAAATATTATTTCTCACTAATTACGATACTCAAGATCAAATCAATTACTGCGATTCATAGAATCTGGAATCACAAAAAAGAAGATATTTGGTTTTTACAATTCATTTTACGAATGACAGATCCTTCTTGAACTTTTGAGTCAAATTAATTAACATCTTTCTTCTACTCGGAAATCAAGGAAACGATTCACTTCTTTGAGTCTAGAACAAGGGTCGGCAACCTTAAAAAAGATATAGGAAATCGGAATCTTGAACTTTTGAGTCAAATTAAAATACTGACTTAACATCTATAGTCATTTTATCAAAACTTGTATTTCATCGATCTTAGTAATTGAGATATTTGGTTCTTGATACAGTGTCATATTTCTTGAATTTCAGTTTGTTTCGATCAGTAAGTATATGAAAACTTCCATTATTAATATTATTTGGGCGAAAAACTACAGTTTCTTTTGTAGTATGTAGGATTGTAAAATATTTTTACTATAAATTTAATTTTTCAAAAAAAAGTCAGTCTCCTTAATATTCAAATATTAAAAAAAAAACAACCAATTACAAAAAAAAAGTTTCATTATCATAAGTGATATAGCCGAGATAACTTTGATGTTTAAGCTATTCGGAACTAGATTTTATCCAGTATCTTCCAAAACAGACTAACTAATATTAAATTTAAAATTAATATAAATTTTAACCATCTTCAGACAAGCCGCCGGATATATCCGCCCAACTGTACAGAAATCTATACTAATGCAAAATTGTATTGATAGCGGCTGTTGATCAGTTCTTAGCGAGGAGGAAATACTCTTTTCAGACGATGCGGCACGGTAATTTACAATACACCACGCATGTCACGTTTCTCTATCTGCAAAGAGATAATACAATAATTTCAATAATAATACTATTTATGAATTTCAAATTACACATTTAAAATGTATTTAAATATTCATACTAACAAAAATAAATAAAATATTAACAAACGGCTATTGACCATAGATATTTTCGCCCTTCAATAATTATATATTCTTTAACAGTGACACTGTTACAATTTTAAACAAATTTCAATGTAAATAAGTAAAACGAATAAATCATTAGTACTAGCTATAAAAGCAATTTAATAAGTATATTTTTTTTATAAAGAAATTTCAAAATTTAATAAAGAATGAAATATATTCTATTGATTTTCAGCTACGGAATGTAAGTATAATACTTATATTATATAATTTGCCAACTCAGGACAAATAGAGCGGAAGAACTTTGTTAATGTAACAATTACACAATAGGTATTACATACACCCTATTTGTCTGTCGATAGTGGTGTAAATACTTATGAATCATTCATGTCTTATATCTTTGGATTGTATTTGATGCAAACTAAAATCCATTTGTTTTATTTAATATTATTAAATTAATTAACTCATCTTTGTAGACTTACTAAAAATCTTTCCAAAAATTCGGTACATCTTATCGTCCGATGCTCTTTTTGGTCCGAAATATATATAATTATTAAAAACGTAACTACTACGGACATATAAATGAAATAAAAAAACTACCCATGGGTCAAAATTACCCGTTTATTAAATATTAATAAAATACAACAAAATATTATTTTTTTCAACATGCACAGATTAATCCTTAAAACAGATATTATTGTGAGGGGCTACTAATAACCGAATGGTTAAGTCGCCCGGTTCGTATCCTGGTCAAGCCAGGCCCCTTGTGAGCCCTCACGGTGCTTGCAACAATAGGGCCATCGATCATCACAGATGGACAGTCAAATGAATGAGGTTCAGCATATGGACCTTCAGCCAAGTCGATGAACAATTATAGTGTTAAGGATAGCAGCAGATTCATAGTCAAAGGAAATAGTGGATTCGCAAAGCATCAACCTACAAAACGACTTAAACTTGCTCAATGTTTATTATTGCTGAAAACACTCTGTGCAATTTATTTTTTTTGAACAAATTGATCTTTTGCATATATCGCAAAACATTGCTGTTTACTTGTCGCTCGTCGCTTGGTGATTGGACATCTGTTAATTAAGTTGGGTTTCAACAGGTATACAAATACAATAATGAAAAAGAAAAATAAAGAAAACTATTATTTATCTAAAAAAATAATAATGGTGTGCACCATTGAATTTATTTTTGTTTTGATCAATCAAAATTTAGTTTTATTCAATTGTACATTATTTCTCAGTTTATATACATTTAAAACTTTACTTTATTCTTATAATTAACATAAATATTTAAATTTAACCTTTATAATTTTGTTCCGTTTCTAGCCATACTTATGACGGTTCTGTCGACAGGAAAGCAGAAAAGGTATAAAGTAAGGAAAATGGGCGCGAATTTTAATTCGCCAATTTGCATTCGCTCTCTAACAATTTGGCTTTGGGCGCAATCAAGGGTTCAAATAAAATAAGAACTGTGCGAAGAGACCGAAAGTTGCCAAATCGTTATCGCCTCCACGGTCTCCGACACGTGCCAAGCGTATTAACTGCTGCATTTACTGCTAATGAAATTTATCCTTTACATATAAATTGCATAAGGGTTTCTTGCTTTCAAGTCATTAGAAACTAACACATTGAATCTCAATATTAAGAACACTATTATCTTTGTACATAAGTTATTTACAAGTCATTTTGTTATTTTTGTTTTTTTTCAAATTTGTAAAAAATTCAAATTATATTTTAAGATATCAAATTATGCAATTACAAAATTTTAAAAATATTCTAGTTTTTGAAAACCGTGTTATTCTATACTCCAGATTCAACGGCGAAAAGAAATATATTTAAGAATTTTGAAAATATTGCTTTATACAAGTCGAGCTATTGAAATATTAAGCTATAGGAAGGTTATCACATTTTCTTACCATGTTAATCGCAATTTTTTACCGTGTTATTCGAGCCTAATTGGTATACTAATAATGTTCCAGGTGCATCCACAATAAATGTTATATATTCAAAATATAAACAAATTTAAATACATATTAAATAAAATTGCATTTGTATTCCTAATAATTATGGCCTGTTTAATTTTTAATTTATTTTGATAAATTTAAATAATAATTTTAATGTTAATATTTTTTTATTTCCAAATTAGT